CAATATACTTGGATTGAAACGAGATTTTTCCACTTTAAAGAATAATAATAAAAAAGCAGTATGAGAATATTCCCTCCCACATTTCTCCAGAAAATTTCTTCTTTAAAATGCAACATGTAAAGGGCACAGATTGGCCCTGGAAAAGCATTTTTCTCCTCATGATATTCTGTAGTTTTCTGTATTTACACTGAAGCAAACGAGCAGAAGTCTGAAGAAATTAAACACTTTAGAGTGCTAAAATCAAAACATAAGCAATACAATTTTTTAATTTCAGTATTTTAAAGTACAGAAAGTGGAAACTATGAATATCAAATACAAATTTAAACAAAGCCACTTGTCCTCCCCTAGAATAATCAATGTGAACTACTTATAGAAACTTACAAATTTAAAGTAAAATTGAAACAAAATAAATACTGTACATACACTTTCCCTGCCTGCAGGCAAAAAAGGATGGGAAATACTGTTATGAATTGAAAAAAAATGCTCTTAAAGCTGCAGCATCCCATTTCCCAGCCAAATACTTACAGTAGTGCGTTTCTTTAAAAAGGAAGACACACACACACTGACCCCTATTGAGCAGACAAGCTAATATTATTAGAGACATCAGAAGAAAAGACAGAAATTAGACTATGAGAGTAGAAAAAGGAGAGCAAAAGACAAAACGGGTCAGCAAAACATTACTACAAAACTAGTAAATATAGCCAAGAACTAGCCACCCCCTTTTTTTTTTTTTTCAAATTCCATGTTTGTTTGTTTTTTTAAAAAAAGATTCACCAAAGCATTGGCAGCAATAGACATTTCCCAGCAGAAGTGACAATACATATCAATATAATCTCTTAAAGTGATCCCTTTCATTCCCTTCCCACAGCATGAAACTCTTATGGCTTAATTTATATTAAAAGTAGAAAAAGTCTTTTTATCCAAACAGAAACGCAGTCTATGAAGAACATGCATTTCCTTATCAGTGCTACTTATATTTCCCATCCACTGCATCATTTATCACTCATACGTTCCCACAGAGAGGGTTGCTAGGGTGCTTTTGCTGAGTGGTGTTTGGTAGGGTTTTTTTTGGAAAAATGGATGTTGCAGCTTTTAATCTTATTTAACCACAAATAGTAAGGCCCTTGGTTCCATTTATATTTCTTCTGTGAAAGAGTAGCTCCAGGCTCACTCTGTCCCAGAGCTACAAACAGCTTTTAATGGTCTGGAAGTATTGTGTGAATGAAATTCTGGAAAGACATCAGGTTTGGAGGTCATGGTGGGGGTATGAAGGGGTAGGTGGGCATGTGGAGCTTACACAGAGCCCAAGCTACAGGCTTGCAGTGCCAGGTCATTCTAGCTTTACCTCTGCTTAGTCTCCACAACTAACAAAAAGGGGATAGCAAGATTCCCATCAGCTCTGACTCTGAAACCCTGTAAAAATTTTCAACAGGTACAACTTCATGGCCTTGTGAATTAAGGTAGCTTATGCCATATAGCAAAGTCTAGGGAAAGCTGAAGCCTCTAAAATGAGATCATGATGCTGTGCTCTCTTGAATGTCTACTAAAGGCAACACAAGCACTTCAACCACTAAAAAAACCCCAAACTTCCAAAATCCCCCACGTGATCAGAAAGCAACAATTTTAACTCTCAACATCTAACCCTTTCGAAATTGTCTTTGAAGAATGGATTCATGTAGAGTATTATAGGTTGCATAGGTAATCTACCTCAGAGGTCAACAAAGGCTACCTTGTAGCCAGGGTTTATTAGCAAGTATAGTAGAAGAAGAAATGGGAAAGTTGCTGGAAGAGTCTTTGAAATAGTTTCTAGACAGTCTTTCCACTTTCATGTTGTTTCTTTTTTTTTCAGTTGCAGGAACGTTAGAACTTAGAGAATGGGAAAATCCCTATAAATATTTAATTTCCTATCGTCCTGTCTACAAAAAAAAAATAAGTTTTATGCCAAATTCAAGTTCTCTGACTTTTAAGAAAAGATTACCCTTAAAAATGAGTTACCATAACAGGCTTAATTCTCTTTGTTGTCCAGTCAGTGTTCCCTGTTCCCTCCCTCTTCCACCCCAAGTGAGACAGTACGAAAAAATAGGGCTTTTTCTCTTCACTACAACACCACAAGGTTCAGTCCATCTACAGGAAGATTGGTGCAGCAGTGTTTTCATCTAGAACACAATAAAAATATCCCTACATACAAGTACACAAAACAAGTGAGGTCACCACATCCTCTTCATGAGCTACCAGAAGATTTTTTTCTTTGTTTTTTTTTCTTTGTTTTGTTTTTTTTTTTACTTTTTTTTTAATACTGTTTAGATTGGCAATTTCTTTTATATCACTTGTTCTGAGGTGGAACATCAGAATTAACTCCTGCTAGAAGCATGAATATCTGAAGAAAATGGGAATGAACCTCTGCCTGTTGACAGCCTATGAAGAGACTATTACAGAAATTCATGACAGTGGAGAGCCACTTTAGAGGAAAAAAAAAGGTAGAAAGTAAATAAACAGTAAAACCAAGAAGAAATCATATATATGGGTCCAGCCACATCTGTGTTCCAATAGTAAGATACAGATAAATAATGCGGATGGTCAGAAAAGCAAGTCATATCTACAAGAAAGCATACTCCATATTTTAAAATTCCTTACTCCAGATTCTATTCTGGCACACTTCTATTTCAGGTAAGTGTTCTCAAAAAATCTGCCTTTAAGAAGAGAGAGCTCATTCTTAATTCTCCTCTGAATCTGACTGCTGCCCTAAACTGGAATTTACTATTCTTAATTATACAGCCAGCAAGAATAAAATAGTTTGGTTCAATACAGTAAAGCTAAAACAGTTTCCAAAGCCTGGCAGGTATTAATCCATTTGCTCAAGCTTAAGCACAGAGAATATTTATATGGGTATATAATTCTACCTAATATTGACATCTTTTAGTTCTCTGACTTACTTTGGTGAGAACATATTAGAAGACATTTAAAGTATCCTTTAACTATTTCCATGTGGAAAACACAGCACCTGAGAACACTAAGTACTTGAAGTCACTTTCAGCACCTGTAGAGTACCTCTTAGCTTATCTTCTGCTTTCTAGGAATCTTTTGTTACCTCCGTTCCCAACAGTCTAAACAAAGCTGATAGCTTACATTAAATTCAAAAAAAAAATTTAAAAGACTGAAATCATGCTTTTGTGAAACAAAAAAAAGTAAAAAAATTTCACAAATATGAACACATATAAAACTATAAAGTCAATACAATGCAAAAGCAGGGCTGCAAAAAACATTCCTAAGCTATAATTTTCAAGCTCCAGAGGAAGTAAAGCCATGAAAGCTACCTGGCTCACTTGCAGATGCATTATGCTTTGATGTTTCTCAATTTAAAAATGGGACAACATATCGCTACACAGTTTTGACCCTGCAACAATAAAAAACTACACCAGGAACTCTTTCCATGAATTTGTAAAAGCATTCAAGATCTAGCCTAGATAAAAAACAATATTTCACAAATATTCTGGAAAGTCCAACTGAATTTGTTTTTAAACCACAAGAAAAAACGATACCAGTATAGAATATGGAGGAAGGAAAAACTGGTATGGAAAGTTAAATTAGTTCCATGACTTGGATAGCTATGCCTGAGTATTCTTACTCTTAGCAACGAAAAAAAAACCCACAACCTAACCTAAAAACCAAACCCCAAACAACCAACAATATTGTTATCACTAGCATATTAACGTTTACACTTTGGCTGGACCCTGCAAAATGCCCTTTTTCCAGAATCAAGTAAAAGTATTCCCCTTTCTGCCTTCATCCCCAACCCCCAAAAGTTAAATATTTAATTTTATATTACAGAAAAATACAAATTTTAAATCAAATTATTTACAATAATTCAGAATCAGCATTTGCTATCAGCTCTATACGAAGCTTGACACAAATCACCTTTCTGATACCAGTAAGCTACTTCATGCTTATATATGCACCAGTTAAGACTTTTAATTGGCTGTATCGCCCAGCTTTGAATGCAATACACGTTCTCCTGCCTTCCTGACTCTTCAGGAAAATGTCTGAAGTACAACAATAATATTTTAATGCTTCTTCCATGCTACATTACGCAATATGCCAAATCTTAAGACTGCAATGTGTACCTGAAGAGTTATTTCAGAGTAACTGTTCTGAAGAAATATTTATCTTAACTGATGTCCCTGTTCCTCCAAAAAGATATATTAGGTTTCCCTCCTTTGTACCAACTCTTAAATATCTGTACAAATAGAACTTCAGGGAGCCTTTTTACAGAAGAAAATCATCATGGACAGATCACTAGGAGGAAGAGTATGCACTCCAGTTTGGAGGAAAAGGGGTGCATTTTAAAACAAGTTAGCTACTGGACTAACATAAGATTCTTCTGTCTGTAGGAGTCTCTTCTAGTCCATCAAATAAATAAGTCTGTATTAAAGAGGACAGGTCAAAAAATAATCAAGCTGGCAGAGAATTTGCAACTTGCAAGTCAACAGAAGCCCAGCCAACAGCTTACAAAAGCAGGAAAAAAAAATAAGGTTTCATATGCCTTAATTTAAAAAATAATTAATAATGCATCTCATCCCTATTTAAGACTATAACCTGAATATCAAATTTAGGAGTCCAGACTAATCACAATTAATGTGGCTCTCCACTGCACCAAACATACATTATCAAAACAATTAAAAACTTTCACATTCTTAAATCTAAATTAATAAACCCACAAAGAAGTCTTCCAAATAAATAGGTTTTTTTTAAATGAATTTAAAAGTTGTGAAAAATCTATCAGAAATAAATTATCAATAAACGACCTTCATCACCTTCCTCTCCTTAATTAGGTCAAAAACTACCAGCAACAAATGATATTCAAGCCCTGATGAGAGACTATTTCTCACAGTCTGTGTCTCTCTGAAGAATTCCCCCGTTCCCATATGGTTATTGCTGAGCAGGTGTGGCACAGTGAAAATGCAGCATTGGGTTGGTTGGTTTTTTTGTTTGTTTTTTTTTTCTTTTTTTTTTCTTTTTTTCTTTCTCATTTTTGTTCATCAGGCAGTGTTTCGTATGGTACATGCAAGTCTGCTTCAAGCCGAGGAATAACAGCAGCTCCAGGCTCTGTCGACCTCAATACTGGTCTGTGTAGGAAAGACAGCAGTAGTAGGTGTAGCAGCTACATTAAACAAAGAAGCGTGCATGGCCATTCCGGTTCAGCTTCAGGATCTTTCCAAGGCGCTGTTTAGCAGTTGCCATTCCTTTCTTTGGACGTTTGCCTGAAAAATGAAATCAAGTTAGTTTGGTCAAGAATTTCAGAACACATCTTTACTATCATAGAAAAAAGATGAAACCCAGCTTTCAAGATGAAGCAGGCAAAAATTTCACCGGAATTAGTTTTAAAAAAAAAATAAAACCAAAAATCCACTCTTCATTTGTCTCTTTGGGAACAAACAGGGAATCAGAAAGGTAAAAAAAGAAAAAAAAAAAAACAGAAGAAAAAAAAGGAATTGCTTTCCCTAAACTCTGGCTAGCCTCATCATAAAGTGATTATTTTATTTACAAACATTTCCAGTCCAGGGAAGGGCAGCAGATGTGATAAGGGGAACCCTAAAGTGAGCTTCCTGAATTTCACACAAGTTATTCCCTTGAGCAAATTACAGAAAATAAATTGGAAACTAAACAGTACTATCACTAGACTATTTTTTCAAGTGTCACAATTTTTAAATCTTCACTTCAATAACACAAATCTGATTCAGGCCAGTATTTGAGAGGATAGCTGTGGTTCTGTTCCCTGTAACAAATGCGTAACAGATACAACTGCAGAGGTGCAACAGTAACTATGGAAGTTTCATCTGGCCACCCATCCAGTTAGATCACTCTTCATTCCACCTCCACACATTTTGTCGAAAATCTTGAGCGTCCACATGATGCACATTTGATATTGTTCCTCAAGGTCTACGCCTGTCTTTTTTACAGTTTCTGCATGTAACAGCTCTTTGATGTTTACAAGCTCCTTTTCTTAGTCTTTTTTTTTTTTTCCTCCACTCTGGCAAGAGGAGGGAGATGATCATTACCTTTTGTCGCCTGGTTGCTGATAGGGGGTGGATTTGATGCTGGCCTCTTTGTTGGATGAAGTGGTACAGACAAGGACGTTTCACCGTAAGGCCTGTCAGGGCTAAGGCTGCCATCACTCAGTCGACATTCTCCTTGAATTAGACTGGAGTCTCGTGTATACTTGCCATGCTGAAAACTCAAGCTGTTGTTGTGGACTATACTTCTGTTCTCTTGAATCTTATGATTGGCTTCTGATGCGCCCTCCTTCTTGGTATATTTTTGAGTTTTACTTGTATCCTAGTATGGAAGTGAGGATACGAAAAAAAGGTGAAAGTTAATACCTGCTGGCTATAAGTTCGCTCCCGTTTTTCTAATTATACTATGGTATCTTTGAAAAAGATATTTCAGTTCCAACAGTGTTGGACTACTTTAAAATTCCGTCATTTCCTTTAGTATAGAGACCTCTTAAAAATAAAATACAGTGTAGTACCTCTACGCAAGCTTTTCCATATGCACTTATGAGCAATGCTGTAGATTCATTACACCTACTAGTGTACTCAATTTCTCAGTCTTTTGGTTTAGTTTTCAGTGATAAAAACAAATGCAACTGCTCCTGATTAAACTGGTTGCTACAGCAAGCCATATCTTAACCATCAACTACCAGAGCAGGCTATTTGTTTTCAGTATTCAGCTGATGAGAGAACAAATGCTAAATTGGGAATTACAAACTGTAAGATAGGTTCTCTCACCAAAAAAAACCAACCACAAAGCACACAGTTAAAATACAGCTATTAGTCAGCATTGTTATTTTGCAACTTTAATTGTTTCAGACAAGTTTAAAAATACTAAAAAAAAAGTTCAGAGTATAAGACATACAACCTTTCATTTATATATTGTTTGCTGGATTCCACTCAGATATCAGAAAGCAAAAATATTCCTACCTACTGGGTGCTGAAAGGCTACATCAGTTTGGCAGTACTGATTTCCTAAGCAAGTATTTTTACTGTAAATACTACCAAAAGGTTTCACTTGTTCTGATGCTCTGGTCAGGAATAACAATGAATAAACAACACAGTCCTCCCCCAGTTAGACTGAATATAAATTCACACCTTTTTTTAAAATGTATTTTTTATTTTTCAAGATACAGTCCTGAGCATCTTAATACCAGCCACTATGACAAAAGAGAGCTTGAAAGGAAAAAAACCCACAAAATAATAACGAAGAAAAAAGTATGACAAAAATGTAACAGCTACCAGAACTAGAATTACCCAATATCAGCCATGCAGAGTGGAAAGATCTGGCTAGCATGCTTTCTGTACTTAAAATTTCCCAATCTCTTTAAGTGTTCAAATTGTTTAAAGTATTGCTTTACCTGAGGGGCAAACCTCGAGGCTTCGTTCAGGTGTCTAGGCCATGCTGAAGTCCCCAAGTCTCCTTCCTCTTCCTTCACAGACCTACCTAAAAAGAAGTTTAACAAGTTTTAAATTGTGAAATCAGTAACTAGGAATGCAAAGCTAATTGTACATCGGAATGACTTGAAAATTAAAACCATTAAAAAAATACAATAAAAATACTCTTAGATTCAAAATGAAAATTGTCAGAGCTGCTTGGTTCTACACACTTAATTGGGAAAACAATTTCACAGTATAAATACACCTAATTAAAGATGCATATATCATAGTAAGAAAGTCAGACAAATATATCTGTTCAAATTTGAAAGTACTGATCTCGACAGCTTGCTTACTTTGTTATGCTCCAGATTTCTACCATAGCTTTGTATCACGAGGATTTCATACAAAAATGGGCATTCTGTAATTTAATTTTCAGGTATTATTCATTGCATTATTTCTAAGCACTGAGGTGCTGATCAGGTACGACAAACAGAAGATCTATGTTGACAGGCCTATAGAAGTGTCCACATTGAAAACACATTTATATACTGCTAATTTGTAAAATTAAGGGTCTCTCAAGCTGAGAAGCACAATTTCATCTTCTTTGCTTGTGGAACTTCACACATGTACTGGGTCTGGCTGGAACGAAATCTTTTCTTAACAGTCCACAGGGCGCTGTATTTTAGATTTGCAGCTAAACCAGCATTGATAACATACCAAAGTTCTGGCTGTTGCTGAACAGTGCTTGCACAATGACACAGCTTTCTCTTTCCCCCACTCTGCCCCCTGCACAAAGTAGGCATGGGGCAGGCAAGAGGCTCAGAATGGACATAGCCAGGACAGCTGACCTGAATCCACCAAAGGGACATTCCATACCATGCAATGTCATTTTTGGCAATAAAAGCTGGGGTAGAGAAAGAACCTGGGAGGAGTCTTCTAAGGTCGCCACTGCTCAGAGACTGGCTGGGCATCAGTCTGCTCGCCGAAGGTGGCAAGCGACTGCCTTTGCATCACTTGTTTCTTGCACTCTTTCTTTCACTTACTAAACTCTCCTTACATCAACCCATTAAACTTCTCACTTTTGCTCTTTCTATTCGCTCTCCTCCGACTCACAGGGCAGAGGGAGAGAACAGTAGCTGCATGGGTGCCCAGCTGCTCAACACATCACAATTTAGAAACCTGGATATTATGTTTTTCATAAAGTTAGAAAGATGAAAAGGCACTGTAATTCCTGTGTGGTTTGCTGGTTAGGGTTTCTTTGCAGCGGTTTTATTTATTTGCTTGGTGGGTTTTAAGAACATATAGCTTCAATTACCAGAACACAGTCCATGACATCACATTAGGCTTTCCTGCTATCCTTGTAAACAAAAATCAGCATACTACCAGTTCTTTGAATTAGCACAATATTTTTGGTGCGGTTGTATTTGTTTCACATCAAAGCTACAATCCTCTTCCATTTCCTTCTTGATCAAAGACTTTTCAAACATAAGGACTCTCTTTGTTCCAATAAGTGATTTTGATTCCTTTGAGGGGATTAGTATTAATATTCTGCCATCATTCCCAAAATGCATTTAACAGATGTCTGTCTTCCATAGACATCAAAATGCCACTGACAACAAAAATCATCTCTAAATTTTCCTCTTCAAGATTAGAATCTCCTTTAATGTGCGACATTCATAGCAGAATTTCAGGAGTAAAGCTTCCAAAAAGATCCATGAAAAAATCACCAAGTGTATTTCCACAGATACCTTAGTAATGCACATGCCATGAAAGTTGCAACCTTGAAGAATCTGTCAATATTTTCTGAAGGAAATCACACTTTCATTCAATAAGGAGACTACACTCTCAACCTAGCCACAACTTTGCCACAAAATTTTAGATGGCAGTATTTAAAAGCTGTATTCTGGGGACCTCTCAAGATAAGTTCGTGCCAGTTTTCAGAAGTGCTTTTTATAGGGGAGAAAAACCCCACAAGCCAAAACCGAGGAACATCCCTTTCTAAATGTCAGCCTGATTTACTTAAAAACTTGACTCCAAATCTGAACATGTAACTTTAAGCGCTTGCTCTGAGCAACTTGTCAAGGAGCAGAGAGCAGCAGTGTCATTAGTTCCGATACCTACCACATTCTATGGTTTTGTGGCTCTGAGATGGCTGTCTGTCTTTATGCCGACTCCTGGCGTAGCTTCTGTGTTCCTGAAGGGCGGTTCGTTTATCCGTGCAGTCTGTGCTTTGAGTATGACCTGGTAAACATGTAGTATAGTGCAATCCTGCCATAGAAAGCATGCCCTGAATAGCTTCTTCTTCTGTACTTGTCGAGGTAGGACATTCCCTACAAAAATAAAAGAGTATTAAAGCAGTTCAAAATAGAATCCTGAATCTCTCTGAAGGAATGATATTTACATTGGTATAAAGCAGAACCATAAATATGTGCAAGAAGGTCTAACAGCTTGTAAACAAATGCCCACAACGTGCTTACTTTTTACTGGGAGTTTCATTTCTGGATGGCTTCTGGGTATTTTGACAAAGGTCTCTTGTGACCTTAGATTCTTCTTTGAAATTCGATGTTACTTCCTGTTTCTCTTCATCACCTGAGCTTTCTGACTCCTCTGTGGAGGAATCCTTCTGCTGAAACAAGAGGAAGCAGTACACACAATGGTCATCATGCCTACCTTAATTTATGCCACGTAAAAAAAAAAATCAAAACGTTTCTATGTCCAACCTTTTTATGTATCTCTAATATTCAGAATGCAGCTAATTTGACTATAACAACTGAGATGGTATATATCCCAGCTTTGTGACACTGATGAGTACATGCTCCAGCAATACAGAAAGCATCTCCAAAATCCATTTTCTTACAGAAAACACTACACACATTATAGAATTCACAAATCACTGTATTCTCTTTGAAGAGAGCACTGATTATTCTTCAATATTCAAAGTAGAGGAAAAAATATGGAAGTATGGTGCCAAGCAGCAGCCAGAATTGGTGACTATTACATATAACGAGACACATCCTGCCCCAAATAGCTGCTTCTGCTTCCTGCTCTCATAAAAGGTAACTTGCAGCAGCAGCACCTCTCTGGTAAGTGGCAGAAACTCTCAGGTAAATCTAAAACATAGCCGAAACAGAGACACAACAGCTGTTGCCCCTCTTACAGTGGCACGGCCCCATTTCATGAATGAAAGCGCTTTTCAGTCCCTGCTGAGATCACAGCTTGTATGGGCAGGAGCTTCTCAAAGGTGGAGCAACCATATGTGACTCAATATGCCTTTATGGGAAGCAAGGGCTGTAATAAGTATGTTCCATCCCAGTAATTCAGACTAATCTATTTTTAACAAGTACAGAGAATGCCAAGAAATACACACAACATTCAATAAAGGTGTCAAAAGTCCAAGATCAGACCACAGTGGAAGCATAATCCTTCAAGATTGATACCACTATCCCTATCATCAAAAAGAGAACCCGAACGAATGAATGAAGTGCATCATATCACCAAGGGATGTTTTTATACAATAGCTTCATTCACAAGAGTAGCTTGTTAATCTTTGACACTTGGAAAGTGACACAAATGGGCAATTAAATTATAATTATGACTCAACATTAGGAGTAAAGCTATTATCTTGTTTTGTTAATATTTACAGGAGCTACTGAAGACAGTTCATTTCGGCCTTATCATTACGGAAGACAAATTTAAACATACACAAAAATTATTCCATTACATAATATCAAAAACTAAGAAGCAGAAGAATATAGAAGAAACTAAGAGAGTAAATGACAGGAATTACAAACATTTCACTCAACAATAAAGTCATTCAAAACTGGCTACATTCTCCTATGAAGAAAGGTATTGCTTTTAAATAACTATTGATTTTGTGTCCTACAAAAGGACACCTACTGAGCTGAAGTTTCTGATAGCATAATTTAGCAAACCAGAAGACGACACACCATGAAGGTTCCTATCACTTACTCTAACATGAGGTACATGAGGTTACATGAGGTAACGATGGAAGGCAACAAATATAAAAAGTAGATCTTGACCACCATGGAAAAAGTAGGAATTTTAAGACTTCTTGTAAAGTCTTATAATAGGCTGATGATTGAAACAAAGTCCAAAGCATTAGCCTTCCAGAAGCACAAACCAAAAATCTGAGGCAATCACTCCATCCAACTAGCATTTCACTGCTATGCAATTAAAATCGAAACTTTTAAGTTAAAGCACAATTTTGTAAGGGAAAAAAAGTCAAAAATATTTGTATATACAGATACACATTTATGAACAGAAAAAGTTATATTAAAATACATGTAAATAAATATAAATATACATACACATGTATGCACACTTATATTTTGTTTAGTTGTAAGGAAATCACTACAGTTTAAACCCTCAAATGGAGGATTCCCATTTATTTCAAATAGTTTAAAATATTTTAGTGGGATTTAGCCATTTCAGCTTATTTAAAAAAACAGAAGGCCTGCAAGATTATTTCCATTTAACTATGCTCTAAAATAAAATTGCATGGTAGACACTCACAATTCTAGTGATGAAATTTAGATTTTACATGGGAAAAAAAAGAATAAAACAACTACGATTTAATTTTTTGACTTCGCAAGTTCCAGAGCAGGCTCATCCTCTGCTAGACCCACTTTAATGACAAGGATGATCATAATATTTGGCTCAAGATAGCAAAGCTTGTCATTTTTCTCAACAGTACAACGAGGCAGAACACTAAGTTTGATATATTAACTTGACCAAGAATTAAATACTTGGTTATTGCTCTTATAACACAAACTTTGACCAGATGTGAGCAAGCATATTGAATTGGTTCATTAACTTTCATGATTTTTTTTTAGTTATACCTGTGTAGTGCAATCAGGCTCAGATTCTTCTGAATCAGAAATATCAGAGTACACTGAGGATCCATTCCTGAGTTCTGATTTCACACTTTCAAAGAACACTGCAAAGAGAAAAATTAAATTATAAGGCCCAACATTTATTACATAATATGTGGTTTTCATTCTTTGCTTTCAAAATAATTGTTAAATATTTTTAGGTTTTAACAATCTGTAAACAGAAGCCCATCCAGACACGGATCTGGTTCCCAAGCCAAGTTTGCTCAAAGTGAGTTGCCTACATTTGACCAATACACTCCTCAAGCAACCGACTGCATGAAGTCAGGAGAAATGAGGTGCAGCAGGAGTATGTATCTTCTTTTCTCCTAAAGAGCAGACAGTCTACAGATGACAACTTCGACAATTTCTGCTTTTGTATAGGCTAGAGTCAAAGAAATGTCTCTTAGAAAAAGTTAATTAGAAGTAATCTTCTAAAGTAATCTTACTTTGTCTTAGATGCTTTGAACTTGGAATCTCCCTGTTTAAAAATAAAAGCAGTTATACAAAAACACTAAACATGGAAGGCTCTTCTCCCATGTAACAAGTGATAGAACAAGAGGAAATGGTCTCAAGTTGTGCCACAGGAGGTTTAGGTTGGATATTAAGAAAAACTTCTTCAGCAGAAGGGTGGTCAAGCCCTGGAACACGCTGCCCAGGGAAGTGGTCGAGTCACCATCCCTAGAGGTGTTTAAAAGACGTGTAGATGTGTTGCCCAGGGACATGGTTTAGCGGTGGACTTGGTATTGCTAGGTGAATGGCTGGACTTGATCTTAAGGGTGTTTTCCAATATAAATGGTTCTATGATTCAAAAGTTAAAAAAAAAAAAATATCACTGTGCTACTTGCAATTTTACTTTTACAGGACAATCTAATGGCACAGTCTGCCTCTTTTGTACTACTACAAAAATGTCAGCGAGGGTTAAAATGCAGACGTGTTCAAGACTGAAATACTACTGTGATGATACACGATATACTTGCATCGGTCTTTATCACAGAAGACATGCAAAAGGAGATGAAATACGTGCCTTAGACATGCTCTTTATTAGCACTTAAGATAAAGTACTAATCAGAGAGTGGGGTGTCAAAATATACATCAGAAACAATGGCATGTGACAAAGCAATCAATCAAATCAGCCACCTAGTCCACATCGTTTACTTTTTAAAGGGCTGAAAGAACCCAAACATGAAGCAGCTGAGCAGCTCTCAGAAGCACCTACTTGTAGAAGACAGTACAAATCCCAAACAACCACGAGCAGGAAACACATTTGTAAGCATTTGGAATCCAAAGCTCAAAGTCAATGTCCAAATGTGTGAAAGATGTACAATATGCAGTTTTACTGCAGGAACTAGCAAATGTTTTTTGGCAAAAAACCAAATAGAATAAAAAATTTATGAATGTGTGTCAAGAAGATAGTGGATAAAGAAAGCAACATGCCTGTTTCAAGTTTTCTAGTACTTCACAGTTTCATACAAAACCATTCTGAAAGCAAACCAACATTTTAACTTTCCTTGTCCTCATTCCAGAGCTAATTTCTGATCCATGTTGGTTTGCTTTCAACATAGTTTTAGATGAAGCCACATAAACAGAACGCAACTGTTCATAACTCATTAATTATGCAACCATAAAAGATGTACCTCTCCCTCTATATACACTGAAATTCTAGTAGGATTTTGTTCCTATTGTACACTGTCACAAAGCTCACAAATACACATCAAATATATTATTAATTTCTAAACACTGCATAAGTGGAAATTACTTTTAGAGTCAGAAGAAAGCTGAGACATGTTATTAGAAAGTGAATAAAACAAAAAGCTGGGACCAAAACCTAGAGAAGACTAATGAAACTTAAGATAGTATTAGAAAGAACTGTGAGGAATATCCAAACACAGCAAATGTGCAACAACACAGTATATGAAGTTAGGCTCAATGAAGTAATGCTCAGCATATGACAATAAAATCAATATTCTAAACTACCGTAGCTAAAAAACCCACAAGGGATTTCTGATAACGCAAGCCTTTGGCTCATTTCAAAAATGCGAACAAGATTCTAAGATAAGCAGTGGCATGCATGACACAAAAAATAACACCATTATATACTCAAATGAATTTTCCTTTGGACTATTACATAGCTCAAATGAATTTTCCTGTTTCAAAAAAAAAATGCTCCAATCTTAAAGACAATTTAAAGGAACGGGCAGGAACAATTAATGATAACTAAATATGCTCACATGCAAAGCTTCAGAGCTTAGGCAAAAACTGTTGTGCAAATAATGAACCACAATTTAAAAATAAATAAAATTCATGAAGGCTCCTCAGGAACTTTACTTCCTACAAGAAGATATATGATTCAGCAAGACAGAAAAGAAACTGGGGATGTATCTAATTAGCTACATACAGATAAGGCCTTCTTGCCTTCTCACAGACATTAAACTGGTTATAATCGATATCCTACTACCTAACCATAGATAATAGCCTACTAAAAGGGACAAATTATTTGTTATCTGTGCTTTATCTAGTGATATGATCTGGACTGAATGACTAAAGCCTCCTAATATAACTGAGATAGTCCTGCTTCACTTGGTACCAGGTACTGGCATATACGACATAACACATTATACGAGCCACAGGTCTGGCTATGCGGCCAAACCATTACCATTTTCACAACATCTTTACTCTCCAAGCTCTGTGCAAAGCAGTCAAAGAACACCTCTCCAGTTTTAATCACAGAATGGTTAATGTTGGAAGGGACCTTGAAGATCATCTAGTTCCAACATCCCTGCTGTGGGTAAGGACACCTGTCTCCCACTAGCCCAGGTTGCTCAAAGCCACATCCAGCCAAGCCTTGAACACTTCCAGGGATGGGGCAGCCAAAACTTCCTTGGGCAACCTGTTCCAGTGCTTCACTATCCTCATGGTGAAGAATTTCTTTCTAGTATCTAACCTAAATCCACCCTCCCTTGTCCCATCACTACAAGCCCTTGTAAAAAGCCCTTCTCCAGCTTTCCTGTAGGCCCCCTGCAGGTACTGCAAGACTGCTATAAGGTCTCCCCAGAGTCTTCTCTTCTCCAGGCTGAACAACCCCAGCTCTCTCAGACTGTCCTTATAGCAGAGGTGCTCCAGTCCTCTTACCATTTTTCTGGCACTCCTCTGGACCCTCACCAACAAGTCTGTGTCCTTCTTCTGTTGGGGGCTCCAGAGCTGGACACGGTACTCCACGTGGGCCCTCACCAGAGCAGAGCAGAGGGGGAAAATCACCTCCCTCGACCTGCTGGCCACACTCCGTTTGATGCAGCCCAGGACATGGTTTGCTTTTTGGGCTGCAAGTGCACACCACTGGCTCTCATCGACTAACACGCCCAAATCTTTCTCCTTAGGGTTCCTCCCAATCTGTTCTCTGCCCAGCCTGTATTTGTGCCTGGGACTGCAGGACCTTACCCTTGGCCTTGTTGAACTTCAGGAGGTTGGCACTGGCCCACCTCTCAAGCCTGTCAATGACCCTCTGGACGGCATCCCTTCCCTCCAGCGTGTTAACCACTCCACACAATTTGGTTTGTCCGCAAACTTGCTGAGGGTGCACTCTGTCCCACTGTCCCTGTCACTGACAAAGATGTTAAATAGCACTGCTCCCAGTACCAATCCTTGAGGAATACCACTTGTCACTGGTCTCCACTTGGACATTGGGCTATTGATCGCAACTCTTTGAGTGCGACCATCTAGTGAATTCCTTACCCATCGTATGGTCCATCCATCAAGCCTCTGTCCTTCTATTTAGAGACCAGGATGTCATGTGGGGCAGTATCAAATGCTTTACACAAGTCCAGGTAGATGACATCAGTTACATTTCCCTTATCCACTGACGTTGTAACACCATCGTAGAAGACCACCCAGTTTGTCCGGCACAATTTGCCTTTGGCAAAGCCATGTTCGCTGCCACCAATCACGTCCTCTATATCCATGTGCCCTAGCAGCTTTTCGAAGCCATGTTCGCTGCCACCAATCACCTCCTCTATATCCATGTGCCCTAGCAGCTTTTCCAGGAGAATCTGCTCCATGATCTTGCCAGATACAGAAGTGAGACTGACAGGCCTATAGTTCCCCGGGTCTTCCTTTTACCCTGCTTTCTGAAGATGGATGTTATGTCACATCACTTTTTGAGTCAGTGGGAATCTCTTCAGATTGCCACCATTTCTCAAATATGATCCAAAGTGGCTTAGTAACTTCATCTGCCAGTTCCCTCAGTTCCCATGGATGGATCTCATCAGGTCCCATGGACCTGTGCACCTTCACAGAATCACAGAATGCTAGGAGTTCGAAGGGACCTCGAAAGACCATCTTGTCCAACCCTCATGCCAAAGCAGGATCACCTTCAGGTTCTTTAGATGGTCCCAAACCTTGTCTTCACTCACAGTGGGCAGTTCTTCAGTGGCCCAATCTCTGCCTATCCCTTCTGCAACTGGGGCAGTGTGGCTGAAGCCCTTGCATTACGTTGTTCAAAAAGCCAGGGAAGCTGCATTCCTTTATATTCATCTTCCCCACCCCCCACTTTCTACATTCCCGTGCAAAAGAGTACTGTAGTTTTCTCACCCTTTTTCAACATACAGGTTTCAGATACGTTTATTACTGAGCTTGACAATAACACATCATGCATTATTAGGATCCCTCATCTCTTCATTCACAACTGTGAATTGTAACTGAGCCTTAAAAAAAAGCTTAGACTAAATATACAAGTTGGGTTTTGCTGTTTTTTGGTTGTTTTTGTGAATTACCTTAGTAATTAGTATTGTTACTTAAAAACAAACCTACCTAGCCTCAGATAAATTTATGGCACTGCATGCTTCCAGAGACTGGGAGGAATACTCCAGAAACAGGGTGAATTAAAGCAGTTATCTGTAAGATCAGGTTAAGCTACTGTGAATTCAAAAAAAAACCTTAAATCGCCTTCCCTTCATCGACAGAGTATCCTGCTCTATTAAGCACAGTACTTGATCTTTGTCTTTCTGATAACACTGGGTCACCATTTAGAACCAGGACCTTGGCATGATACACAAAGCTTGATCTGCTTTAGGCCTCTCTTTGTGGGCATTGTCTCCTGGCTTAAATCCCAGTAAGAACAATGGAAGGTGAGAGGTGTTACAGAAACAAGTAGTCCCTTTTATGGAATTCTCTGCAGAAGAGCATCTTCTCTCTCTCTCTTTCTGTGGACCTTCACTTAAGGCAAAATAATCAAATGAATGTGAACTTTCATAACGAAGTTTGAAGACTCTCACTCTCCAATTAAAAATGTAAGCAATAGCCTTGAGTACTCAGTTTCTGGAAGAACGGTCTCAACATTCAGTTCTATTTCTAAGATACACACTGCCATACTCATTCTGTGTCAAACAATAACAATTTTGAAGAAAATCTACCATTTCTCTGTGTGATTTAATGTCTGATTCAAGTGTAAATAGTTTAACTTTGAAAGTGGAAAGCCACCACATATGCCTAATCCTTCACTCAATGAGCCATTTGCCTTGGTTTACGAGTACCCAAGAGAGATATCTTTTCTGTGCAAATTTTTTAATATCATCCTCTGTGACCCTTGGAAACACAGGCAACATGGATTATAAATTGCTTTGTTAATGAAAATAATTCAACATTTTATCCAAGTTGACAATGGACTCAAATGTTGTTACAGATTGTTGTGCAGGAATCTAAGGGAATTCTAAGTCTCTAGAGAAGTCTTGTCATCTTTTAAATGTTGACCTCAGTTTCTTAATACATACCCACTGAGCCTTTTGCAAGCTCTACTATGAAAGAATGTGACTTTTATAATTACAGAGCTGAACAGCTATGTCAAGAACCAATCTGTCACTGCATAGAGATAATGCTATTAAAAATAGGCATTCAGTATTGATACTTTACTAATACACTGTATGATTAACACTGTTAAACACTTAGAGGGAAGACCTGAGGCTACAGAAAGACCAAAAAAGATTAACTTGTAATGAAGGGCATTATTGGAAAATTGGATTAAAGTGTTTTACAGATGACTTAAATTCTTCTCCAGCCTTGCAGATTACTGTAAAGGTTGAAAGTATAAGATTTTATTAATACTAAATTATGTTTGATCACTTGTATGGAATAAACCTATTCATTAGTAAAACACACAAAATTGTATCATCGATTTCAGAAATGATCCGCAAATGGAACAGAAAAGCGAAATATAACATAGGTTAAAAATGAGTTGCGTGTTATCATCTTGTATTCTCTACAGTGAACAATACTGTGAACTTTTCATGCTAAAGTATACTTTGGTGCAGAAAAATCAGCATTCTTACATTAAGAAACGAATGAGAAGGAATAAATACTCATCCAGAACACCAATTAAACCTCCACTCTGAAAAACACTTGAATACTGTGCACAGTATTCAAGATGGCATGAACATACAAAGGTGAGCTTTACTTTTGAGCTCCATCCTGTTAGCTTCTTCAGTAGACAGCAAATATTTGGCAAATGTTTTGTTGCAGCTTCTAATATTATTTCTCTAACATATTAGTGTATCTCTTTATACATTGGTAGAATTTCAGGCAGACTTCACAATAGTTAGACCCTCTTCAAGATCATCAAAATGTTCAACTGGTAGGACTTAGAGATAAACTTACTGTTCAGTGGTTTCTGGGCATCTGCATTCCCTTCTCCTCCAAATCCTGAGGGCTGTTCTTCCACCTTAACAGTCGTCTTTTTCGACCTTGTCCTGTCATCTTCATCTTCACTATCTGCTGTGTAAAGACTTCGATCTGTAAATGGGCGTCTCTCATCTCTGTCTCACAAGAAAAAAAAAAAACACGTTATTCTTACAAACCAGAACCAATTGCTTTCCTTTCATTATTTACAATATGCTCTCAAGATACTACACTAACATTTTCCTATGCTCATCTCCATTCCTAATTGTACATATTCCCATTTTACCTCCTGTATAATTGTCATTTCCATAAAGACACAAAGTTATATACCAGAGTATTTTAATGAGAATCACGGTCATTTTTTGGATACAACATATCCATTTCTACTTTGAAGCATTCCCTTCAGTACAAACGCAACCAAGCAACTGAACGAAATGCTTTAACAAAGGAACACGCGGAGCATTTCCTCCTCTCTTCACTCCATAACCGTGGCTCCACTAGGGGGCAGCACACACAACAGACAAGACACTTCTATGTTCCTAACGTTAAACTTGCTGGTAGAACAGACCTTAGAGCTCCACAAACAGAAAAGAAATGTTATTAACAATTAGCATGCTCCAGATCATAATAACTAGGAAGAATTGAGCCACAATCAACCTTATGTACCTGATTATTCTTCCATTTGACAGCAGAAGGCGAAGATCATTGTCTTTTGATCGCCATTCAGGTACAGTAGAAGACGGCTGAAAGGGCTTGTTAAATCTCCCATTCAGTTTTGAACTTGTGGTATCCTGAAGAAGTAAAAGCAACGTTGCTTATCATTTATTTCTAGAAATCTATTTATTTTTTTTTCGCACTCCAACAAGACCTAAACTTAGCATCAGGATAGTTACCTTCCTGATAACCAACTGAAGAAAGCTCAGATAAAACACGTTTGAATGTAAGCAGCAGACTGCATCTTCTCCTTCCTCAAGTCATCTATACTCTCATCTATACTCTCCTGAAGCATCTGAGACAACTACAACTTCACTGTAATATTCCTTCTATGTTCCCCTGGAGAACTATTGCTGTATTCAAAACAAATACCAATGGAGAGAGGCAAGCCAAAAGCTGGGCTTGGAACTGATAAGGCAACTCCTGGATTGGGTATCTGGTCCCTGAAATTAGTGTATCAAAGTGATTTATAGGACAGTGAAACATCAATAATGGAAAGTAACCTGCCGTAAGCAGAATTTTCGGAGCTCAAAGCAATTTTCATTGACATATACTCTGAAGAAACCAGCGATACACTTATGTGCCAAACCAGGAACATGTAAAAGCATTTACTTTTTTTTACAAGTCAATACTGATAATGAACAATATATTTCTACATTAAATGACAAGGACTACTCCTAGACATTTGTTTGTAGCAATGAACTGCATACGTTATTTACTTGGAGTAAATGTTAAGTTCAGTTTCTTGGTTTGCTGAGATAAATGAGTATCTCTTGTTCATGATTTATGATGAGCAATGTAAGGACCCAAATCACTATTTCTCCACTATGACAGTCCATCCTGTGTCAACTAAATTTGTCATAATTTCTTATTCTCAGAATGCTACTTATTTCCTTTCATAAAGCTACTTATTTTAATTCTCTCCTTTTCCCACTTCTGTTGCTGCTTTTTGAAAAAAGGTCATCAAATATGAAAAAAAAAATTTTTTTAGTAGACTAAAATTCACTCATTCACTCCAAAACAATATGACCACAAAATCAACAGCCCCACAATGGAAACCAAAAGCAGCATTAGGCTTACTGGTAGGGAGGAACACACATACAGGAAATAGAAACATGACCAAAACCCAAGGTTAATCAAATTACAGTAACTAAACTGTAAGAAACAGCTATCTAAAAACACATGGAGAAGCAGCCTGGCTCAGAGCCTCACCAAGTCAAAACTTTGCAACCTCCCTTTTCTTCACAGAATTGATTCAAAGTGGCACTGGATAGCTAGAGCAGTCCTAATTCAAAACCTACACCTGAAGCGGGTAGTGGATACTGGGCACCTTCGGAACCAAAAGCTTGAAGGAACCACCACAAAAAATCATCAAGGAAGAGAGAAACTCCTACCAGGAACACTGAAAAGAAGAAAACCAAACCCACACCTATCCATTTCCCATATGACAAGGTGCAGTAACCTGTATTCTCATGCGTGTTAGAACACTTTTTTTCCCCCTTTCAAAAGAGACTAGAAATCTACTCTGTTTTTATTTTTCTGGATCATAAGTAATACTTGCCTCCTCCCATGGTGACATCTCCAGCCTTTTCAGTACCTCCCTGGTGTGGAGTTCCAGGATGTCCAGATTAGACGGAGTTTTGGTAGCATGGTCTCGTAGTTTCCTCACCCGTCGTCTAGAGTGGTGAGGGGAAGCTGTTTCATGTGAAGATCGTGAAGTTGGACACACACCAAGAATTCCCTGAGTTTTAACTAGCTTGCTGTTTTCCTCCTTTAATTAAAAACACACATTTAAGAACAGTCTCATGGGAATACACTCATGTATTCAAGTGCTGCTTCCCACTCATTTAATTAAATGTAAATTATATAAATAAAATTGTCAGAACTTTTAGACAATGGTATAGGAGGGGAAAAAATAAAGAAAAATAACACAGACTATATAACAAATAGAGACAAAATCTAAGAAAAAAAAAGAGATGACAACTAGAACAGAATCAACAAACAGAGTAGGAGAATAGAATATGCACAGAATTTCAAATTAAACTCTTTAAAAATATATGCACAGTAATTATGTTAGTAGCTATGAGAACAATTGAGAAATACTGCCCTACAAATAATTTCACCCTTAAAAATACATTTTTTACAGAAACTACATAGAACACCCTCACTATACATTTTCTTTACCTTAAATGCCCATAGCTTAGCATTCCCAACAGCTTTTGTCTTGATTTTCTATTATCAAATGAATGTTAAATAAATTAAGATATGAATATGGTAAATCTGAAGTATAATGACTCCCTGACTCAAAGATTTATTTATTTTTTCTGCATACTTCTGTAGGATACTCTCTTCTTACCTCTACAGAACGAATCACTTTTGAGAGCTCTTTTATGAGATGCCCAGGCCTAATGTTGTCTGGAATTTCAAAGGCATGTTCTGTGACAAGCTGTATGCAAAGGGGGAAGAAAAGATATTTAATTCTTTTTTTTTCAGATAAAAGTGGAAGTAATACAAAATAAACAAAAACAATGAAAAAATATCAAAATAAATTTCCCTTATTATAACTGCAAACTGCCAGGAGATACACATGTTACACACACACACATCCCCCCCAGAGCTTCCAGGTCAAGCTTTAGAGGACAGCAGGCATCCCTCAATGTCTCGAAGAATCCAAAGAAGGGGCAATACATAGCCATACTGATAACAACTTTTTTACCCTCTCAGCACAGTAATCAGCTTCTTTATTTTGACTTTAGCATGATCAGTATAGAGCCAAACTTCAGAAACTCATTAGTCATGACCTTCAAAACAGTTAAAGACTAAGGCAATTTTGCTCAGCAAAAATTTAATCTAACAAGCAGATCAAGAATAATAATCGGTAACCAACACACAGCTCCGTAGACATCTGTCTCACAATCCACTTCTTAAAATTACGTGCTTCACTTATTTAGACTCTAGTAAGCTGGGGAAAGTGATTCAAAAAAATCATTCCCTATAAAAAAAGATTAGGAAATTTTAACAGTTTATGTTCTCTTTAATCCTCTGAAACTGTATCAGAGACAGATTATATATATATACACACATATATATACACACACAAAAAGATTAAACCCTGCATCTCTCCCTCCTTACAAAAACTCCTGATTTTTTGTCTTTTACAACAGCTAACAATATATTTTTTAAAAACACAGAACAGTTGCCCAAAATAACCTTACTGGTACATGAATCAAACATCTGAAAATCTCAATCTGAGATGTGTTGCTTATGCAAGGTAGAAGGAAGCTACAGCTAAAATCCACGAGCTCAGACATCTGGATAGGGCATCATCGTTATTGTTGTATCAAATAATGTGGACACTGATGATCTGCACCAGCGTAATCAGAGGATACGCATACTGATAAAAGCCTTGCACAAACTGACTTCGAATCAAGACACGAAAACTAAGACAGTATTAGTAGCACTCAATCTCTTCTCTCAGAATTTTGTAATTTTTGGCAATTTTTAAATATTGCAGAAATTAAGGTATCACTGTCTTACTGAAGATGTTTGAAACTCTCCAGCAAACAATTTGAAACAATTCACTAAGATAATTCACAGATGTCTTGAAAAGACATACTCCATGATATGAATGTGAAACCTCATGAGTAGGCTTCTCATTTCCATAGCATTTATTCGTCATTTCTTTTTCAGAATCTGCCTGAAAACCCCAGCATGAGGACATCAGAGAGCCACGTACAAAGCTCCTGCTGTCTTCAGCTGTGTACAACTACAATCCTATCACGCATGTGGCCTGCTGCAAAGAAAAGATCAGCTCACTTACAAAGCAGTAGCTAGAAAAGATGAACACGAGGTACAAAACACGATAGCTGGAGGACAGCAGACAACACTGGGACTAGATCACTGATGCTGTGCAGTTTCCTGACAATTTAAGTGTCTGTTCAGCTAGTGGTTTGGGAATACTCACAGCTCTCATTAATAAACATTCACAGCGCAGCATGCACAATTAATTTTTTTCCACAGAGAAGTAGGAAACATATCCTATTCCAGATGAAGTATTAATCACACTACTTAGTGAGTTACTACACAGTACACAAATTCTGCAATACTATACTACATCCAGCTAGAAATCCAATTTCAAATTAAAATAAGGATTTATACAGGCTCTGTTTGATCCTGGCTATCAGCAGCCTGATTACTCAGCTTATTATCCATGCCAGGAATGTGAAGATAGTTTGGATTCACACACGGTTTAACAGCTTAGGCAAAACATCCTGTAAATACTGCTACACTGCTTACTAGTTAGCTTTGAGCCAGGATAGCAGAGACAAAGAGCCACTGGAGAACCAACTCAGAGGGCTAGCAAAGGTTTGCTTGAAATCAGTTATGTTACACAGGCTGGACCCAAGAGGATTCCACACAGAATAACCACCTCTGCACTCGTGTTCAGTTCCACAAAGGTCATTATGTTGGACGCAGAATTGTGCAAGTATCATATCTGTTGTGTAATACTTTCTCTTACAAAGAGAACTTAAGGGCAAAAAGACCCAACAGATCTCCAAGAGCCAGTTTGAGTCAGCAGGGCCAGCAACAAACTAGAATTAATATGCTCAGTCAGGACCAAACTGCCTGTCAGTGTACAGCGCTTCCCAAAAGCACGATTTCCAAGAGGTCTTACTAGCTCAGGCATAAACACATGGAGTCAGGCCAGATGCAGGGCTGGGCCAACACACATAAGCTTTCCTGGAGAGCAGAGCGCCAGCAAAGCCAGAGGAGACAACATATTAATGACTTTACAAGAGTCAGCCAATGTTCAGCAGGACAGTACTCAACTGAAGTGGATGTCCTCATCTGAATCTAACGGGACTCCTCAGCAATACAAGTATACCTGACATGCTCTCCACAGCACCGATATTAATGGCAAACGCTATCAGGGCATTCCATCCCTCCATTGCCTCTGACTAGGATCAATCAACTATAAAAAACAGATTTGTTAGAAAAAAGCCCCACCTTATCAGCTTATCCTCTAGCATTCTTATTTCATCCTGAGGTAATGCAAGATTCTACTTCTATCGGCTACGATACAAGACCTTATTAATTGGTCTAGAAAGACTTTTTTAGCAAAATGGAATATAAAATTGTGACGATTCTTCCCCAGATCAGTGGTACAAGCTCTCCACAGAGTCCTTCAGTACTCATTAACAAAGAAAAATAATTTTAAACTTTCAATCACTTCTAAATCAAATCAGAGCTCACCAAAACAGCAAACAAAATCACTTATACTTACTTCTTTTTTCATCCACAACTTTAAAGCAGTAAGTAAAGCCTTGACTCCTTGCACTAAATAGCCTGGAGGCTGGAAACCATCTTCCCTCAGTTCTAAAAAGGATACGGATACCAACTTAGAAACACAGCAATAGTGAAAACAATAGAACGATACCTACCCTTCAGCCAATAAAGTTACCATTATGCAACAGCACAGAAAAGGAAAATTTGTACAAGCAAATGAAACATGACATCCTGTATTTGTGTGCATACCGTAACAAAAATATGATTCTATGATTAATACCTTTTTTCGGCTGCTTCTTGCATGAATTAGGAACAGTTCATAACATACTAAAGGTCAAAACAGATATAAAATACAGAACAAGAGAAAATATATTTGAAGAAGGAAATCACTTATTTCATTCCAAAAGATCTTAGTCAAAGGGGACCAGAAGGATATGCGATGTACCTCTAAATCAGAATTTATTTATTCCCATAAGTACAGCAAATGATTCACCCTAGAACACTTCCACTCCCCAAACATCTTCTGTCACCCTTCCCATTATCACAGTTCTCCCTCAGAGAGTTTACATCATTTTTCCTCCAAAAAATCATAGAGGCAGGGGATGGAAATCACTCTGCTACAGAGGCTGCTCCTAACAAAGCTGGTGCTCCCTAGTGACTGCAATTCCTTGTCAATTTTCTCCTTCCCTTCATGGCAAAAAAAAAAAAGAAGTGAAAAGACAAATCCTGCATAAACAGTCAAGGTAGAGTGCCAATTCTCCCCATGTTCCCAACAGATACTTCTACCTGTCAAGAGCAAATAGATCCACACCAGAACTATCTGGCTATTTTATTCCCTTAAGAGTATACACTAACAAAACACCATTCTTACAGATAACGTATTAGTCTGCTGGCAAGAAAAAGGAAAATTCAGTTACAAACAGCTGTTCTTTCCTCAAAGGTGCTTGCTACTTGTGAAATGGCAAGAGAAGGAGTGACAGGCCTTTGCGTTGCAGCAGAAGTCTGCTTGCCCACTAGCTGACTCAGCTGATAAAATTTTGGGAATACAGTGAAGCACCACAGTATGGATTTTTAGCTGCAATAAAAAAGATTGCATGACATAAGAGTAATCCAAATTAATATCAGATGAACAAGTTGTCTATTTTGAAGCTACAAGAACTACAAAGAAAACTAGTTTAGGTGAATGCCACACCATTTCTAACGTCGTAAAACACTTTTTGCCAATGAAATTCAAAATGTTTATGACCCTGTTATCATTTTTTAGAAGAACCACAAAGATGCATTGTGCTGATTTTGCTTACTGACCTGAATTTCACATAAGGATACTGCTAACAACCATGCCCTCAACGTTTTACAAGTTGGTCATCACCACTACCTTTTACAACCACGCTGGTAGCATCTCTTATTTATTAAACAATGAATTCTGACTAGTAAACACCTAATTCACATGCATCTTGATGCCAAAGTCCAACATAACCACTTTAGCCATGGAAACCTCAATTTCTGTTTTTTATGACAGATTTTTAGATCACAGCATTGATCTGCAACAAAGCATCTGCTAAGTAATAGATTAAAAATAACAAAAAAAGCTTCATAGCTCTCCCCTAAGACACAAGCCACAAGAGGCTCCTAGTCTACATACTTAAGGAGTCATGGGATAAAAAGGAGAGGAGTAGAGGAGGAAAGTGGACATGGGAGACAACTCATAGTTAGCTGGACCATATAGAAACCTGCTAGATGATAAAGCAACCTAAAATACTGCTTTGCCAGAAAGAATACAGCTCCTATGTCTTCTAACAAGTTTGTAAATTTTAAGTATGTAGGAGTGAGACTAACCAAAGCAAGCTTTCAAAAAGAGCAAGCTCTGGTTTTGGAAGGAAAAAATTTCTGCAAGCTTGTTCTATTTGGTACAGTTTCTGAGTTGCTTTAGGTTCATCCAGAAAATTTAAATACACATTTAGGAAACTCTCATTTAGGGTTGTTCAATGTCTCCATTTGCTGAAAGCAGAACAGGTGATTTTCAATAACTGTGACTGGTTTTTATTAGCAAAAGATTACAAGGGATTCTGATCTTATCCAAAGCAAAGCTGAATTCAGCAGCCACTTCCAAAGGTTGATTTCCCTCCTTTGAAATATATCATTTGGAACATGACATTTATTATTGAGATTAAATAGAGCAGGCAGAGGGCAAGATATCTGAGGAAAAGAAGGTGAAGTCAGACAGGCACTCTATCAAGCTTGAATACACATGGGTATGGGTATAGGAATTACATTCCTAGATGAGGAAGAAGAAACGGCAACTGTCAAGAATAAGAGGCTGTTGAGATGTCTACTGATAAGCACTGATACAAATGATTTAACACAGCTCATAGGAACTGATGCATCTTTTTGACAAAAATCCTCACAGACACCTTTCCCTTCACAACAGAGAGCAGAAGAAAACACTTAGTTTGACTGGAAAAGTCAAAGAAAACTGTAGAAGTGCAAGAAAACCTGTGAAGCCACCAAGAAGAAACCCGCAGAGGTAAGCTACTGGGATCATTTAGAGTTGTTTGCTGAAAGAGGCAGAGAAAGGCTATCAAAGGGTACTCAAGGATCTTAAATGATACACAAGAAGCCCAACTGAAAACTTGACACCATTGAAGTAAGTTTCCTGTCTTCCCTAACAAGGTGTTTTCAGATAATGGCAAATTAATCCTATTTGACTGGTAGCAAAACTGGACTGTGCCAGGATCTGAAGACACTTTGTCTAGATAACCTGGAATATTTTCATTGACCAGATACATCATCAGTATTGGATGAAAAACACTAATAAAACAGTTCCAAGAAGCATGTTAAAAAGTGTTAGTTACACACATCACCATGTGCACTAAAAATTCAGCACAATGCAATATAACCGAGAAATCTTTAATCACCAAAGTAGTTTTCAGAAAAATCATTTACTAAACTCAAGAACTGATGGATCTAGAATTGTCACAGTGCAGTATTCACCTAAAATCTGGTTAAAAACTAATGTGACTTTAAAAATAAAAAAGTATGTCAAGTCTGTTTTTTCAGCTTAAGATGTTTCTTCTGTTCACACAACAGCAGCATAACTTTCTCTGCTATCAGTGAAGAGGGGAGAAAAAAGTAAAAGCAGATACATGTGTATCTCTTAAAGCAAAACAAGGACTACCTTTCAACGTTTCCAGTAAGTTTTTGGCCACAAACCAACAGATGGCTTCAAAGAAAGGAAATTTGAAAAGATCCGGGGTTTTTAGCCTCTTCTCCATTTCATAACACCTGAATAAACAGAAATATTATAAAATATGAACGTTTTAAGTATCAAATTCATTACTCAGCTATGTAATCATTCAATTTGACAAAAAGTCCAAAATAAAATAAAACAACCATGGCCATGATAAATAAAAGAAGCCAAGTACCACATAGTTAAATCCCAACAAGATCACACACAAGACTGAACTCTGATCTCATCCAGGCTCTGACCTTATCAAGTTTGACTGTGGCACTTCTAAGAATAAAGTTGGACTTCATAAAACTAGGATACAAACCCAATGTGTGATCTTTTAACAGATGGAATTTTATCAGGATTCCACTGTAATAAATAAAAACAATATGTTTAGAAGACAGCTCCACATCTTGGACAAAAACTAAATAAAGCTGCCCTTAGAGCAATGCTGACTTGAGGATGCTCATTTCAACTCAGAGTTGCACACCTGGGCTTGCTCAGTACTGTTTTACTCACCAAAGTAAACTCTCCAAAGAAGTTTTTCTTTCTTTCTCTTTTTTTTTTCCTTTTATTCACTTAAGCTCTTGCATACCCTTCATTGTGCTTTTGAAACAAACTTTGAAATAAAAGTGTGTGCCTGATACATCCTAACTGAAAATGCCACTATTGTCTGTTTGAGAGCCTGTACCAATTGGATCCTGGTTAAGACCATGGAGGAAGACATCTATTAAAAGAATTTCCTGCTTACTGAGGAAAAGGTATAGAAAGAGTCAACACTAACCTGAGCTGCATGCCAATATTGAGGTTGTGCAAAAAGTTTCCTCCAAAAGCCATACAATCCTGAGACGTGAGCACAGCATGAATCCAGCCTGAAATGACAGATTCTGAAACTTAATACATAAATAAAAATAATTCTAAGACTGTTTCTAAATATATAAGTAAAACTGATGTACCTGAAAAAAAAAAAAGCAAACAAATTTGTATTCTGTGCTAGGAACAAGTTCTCCCTCTAATTAATGAAAATAAGTAAGTTGAGAGATAAAAGATATACTGAACAAAAAGTCACAAAAATAAAACAGAAATTACATTCCTTTCAGTACTCACACATTGCTTAAAGTAACTGAGCTGTTTACACAACATAAGAGTCATTTAGCAATATTAAGTCTGTCAAAGAGCAATTTCAAAGTAGTTCCATTAATTATTCTAAATACAGTCATCCTAATCTCAGTGAAACTATGATCAGTTTAAAACCCAGCCTAGGCACTCTGACTATATAAATTTGTCACATAATTGAAATATCGTCCTTGTGAACTCCACTGTTGAACACGGCAAAGCTCAGTCAATGTTATGCTATCAATCTAACTGATTACTACTGGACAATTCCAAGTAAGTACACAAAAGAAGAGGTGATATTAGCTTCCTCATTACAAAGAGCTACCTTTCAAATTTATACTGTGCAGCTTTAATGTAAATAAAATACAAAGACAGTTTCTTCTTTCAAGTTTTTTTTGTCCAGTTCCGTGATTTTGCATACATACAGATGGATCTTTTGACAAAAGGTGGGTTGGCCAAGCGTTTGCAGATGACTTCATGGTTTGACTGAATGCAGGCAACACGTACGGACACAGAAAGCTCCCCGACTCGAGGCAAAATCAGACCAAATCACAAGCAACTACATATTGCAAACTACCATTAAATCCATACTCAAATTCAGTTAGGAACAAGCACTTTTAGTTATTGTGGTACCACAGGTAAAAAAACTGAAAACTTAGCAACTAAGCTGACTAGGCAACATGCCTACTATATATGCAGGCAATGAAATATAGAATGGCGTATGAAAGAATGCAGAATACAATGGCAAATGCTGCTTAAAGGACTTCCTTAATTAATGTTATATATTGTTCAATTTTACTTCTGCTCTTCGAGAAGTGCAGTGCAATGAAGGCTGCCTTGCATTACCAGCTGCATTTTGCATTTGTTTAGGCGGTTTCAATTTTTCACTCTTATTACCATCATCACAGCAGACAAATGTCTCTGGCTCTCCAAGGAATATGTGTGTCTCTATCCTTTAAACACACACCTCCCCAGACACTCCTCAAACCAACAACAAAACCTCCTCACTGTTGCATCAACACCCAGGATTTTTATGGCACATCTGTATTAAAGAATTTAATTTTTTTTACATTCCTCCTTGCTATTTTTATGCCGTAGTTTTGATCAACGTCTATGTAACAAGGTAAGAAAACTTAGTGTAGACCACATAGAGTATCTTGAATAATATTTAAATAACTCTCAAGAGCCTCCCAGTAGGTGCTATTCATCTACACACAAGATTAATTTTAAAACAGAAGTCTACTCTGAACATATTTCACAGATTATAAAATAATAATGACATCCACTAGCACCAGTGCAAGCAGGAACAGAGAACTGGTTTTTTGTAGAGATCAGGGCGGGGTTTAAAAGCCTTTAATCAGTCTTACAAGTTTCCCATTTTTTTAAGCACCTGTCTCAGAATTTAGTTTAATTTATTGGTTCTTTACTTCATCATATGTAAATATGTATGTGTGTATGCACACACATATATGGTTTCACGTGTGCATATATATATATACACGTATACGTGTGTACACACATTTACATTTGAAATTAGCATCTCATCAATATACACACGTAAATACACATATACATTAGAAATTATCAGTTTATGATACTTGTCTTTTTGGCCACATTATAGTAAGATAAACAGAAAGTTAGCATCCTCCTGCCAAAAATATACGGTTTTAAAAAGCTCCGGATGTTCAGGAGTGTTAAATGCATATATAGCTCATCTCCATGAACCAGAACAGTAAACACTAAACCACATGGGCAGAGAATTGAGCTGTAAGAAAAAGGTAGCAGTCTGCCTAGGAAGTCCATGACATAAAAGTACTAAACATAAGCCTTGAGACTTATCCCAGAAGTAGAATTTTGCACCATTTTTCTTCTCTCTGTATTTAAAGCTTCTTCCCTTCAAAAATGGAGGACAGTACTCGGTACAAATCTTTAATAATAATATAATAAAACATATTTATATGGATGGGCTTGATAAGTGAAAATACAAGAAATTAACTCTCACTCATTGGCAAAATATGGTTTTGTCTGTTAAAGGCTGCTAAGTTAATGGTATTTGGGAGTTTGTGGGGTTTGTGTGTTTTGTTTGGAGAATTTTTCCGTGTTTTTTTAAATAAGGAAGTTTAACTGGTTTTGTGGGGTTAATTTCTTAAAAAATGTCCTGTAATTTATCGCACACTATTAGGTGATGGCTACAAGAAATGTTGTTAAGACTATCAGAAAACGCCATGCTTCTGCATAATTTTTAAAGGAAGCTGCTAAAATTAATTTATGAACACTGAAGTTTCCTAAACTATATCTGCTTTTATTTTTAATAAAAGGAATTAACACATGAATTCCATTACATGTTCTTCAATTTTATTTATGGACACTTTCATTTTGATTCAGAGAGTCTCCACAGGCTCCACCACAGTTTAGATTTCCTG